CTACATACCGACCTGTTTATGGACCAGCCATAGACGTTCCCATTACGTACATAGGTCCCTATAGGCTCGACATTCATAGGTGTAAGAGCGCTATATTTACCTTGGTGTGCCAGGAGCTGTTCCTCCACCTTCAGGTACGAGAAGATCTTCTGCGGACTTCGGTGGGCAGCTTATTAACATGACAGCCTTTCCTTTCGGTGACCCTTTTGAACCAGTGGCTTCACTGCGGGCACTCTTTCGTCGTTTTCGTGCTCGGCTAGCAGTGAGGTCACCCATTATATGAATTCAAAGTCCTCTTGCACTGCGAAGTGATCGGAAGGAAGCATTCGAATTAAATGACTAGAATGTGTCGATAATATCACTCTCACTTTCTCAGGCTCTGATTAATGGGCGGTTTATTTATTTAATTCCATTGAACAGAATCATTGCTAGCAGTGTGCTACGGTTGCCACTAACCAAACGACATGCATCCTACATAGAGCGACTCAAGGAGCGACTAAATAAAAAAGTATTTCCGTGGGAAGTCAACCAACGTGGAAAGTGAAGTGGAACCAACAGTGCGCGCTGGAGCAGGGGCGTCTCGACCCGCTCCCTCGCTGCAGTGCACGGTCGGGCCGAAGATCACGTTCACTTATCCACTGCTCACTCACCACTGTAACTGTGTGGTGGGGAGAGGCAGACATACTCCTGCTGAGCACCTAACAGCTGGAAAGGACAAGAGAACTTAAGTTTTTGGATTATTGATATTCTTCCACGGTTTCATTTCGAAAACAAACCTTCATTTTCGAACAGTGGTAGCTCCCTGCATGCCACAGTCCACACTTCTCCAGCCTGTGAGATTGCTAGGCAATTTCAAACGTTTTTTCATAATATTTAATGCACTTTTATGTTAGTATTGCAAGAAACAATGAAATCATCAGGCATTAGGCAACACACGGCACCTGGGACTCACCTCTCTGGCAGGATTTGGTGCCCTTGCGGCACTGCAGAGGGATGTCGCCTGCCGGTAGATCGTCCAACCACCGGAGCGCTTTCACGCGGCACCACCCGCACCCCGCTCCTCCCCGCAGTCAGTCCGCGGTCCCTCCCCTCACCCCTCTCCTCTCACCGGCGGTCAGCGGCCATCCCGAGACGTGCCGGCCCGCCCCTTCCCCCCCCCCCCCCCGCTCGGGCCGCCCCTCCGTCCGCTCCCCGCGCACACAAACAGCGGACGGCGCTGGCCAAACGGGTTGTTTTCCCCATGCCTGGTCCAGAGAGCTGTCCATGTAGAGGTGCAAAATAGCGCAGCAGGCTATCTCCCGACCACCTTCAGAAAATGGGTGCAGTCCGAAAGTCAATGGTCCGAATAAATGCAATAGCCAATGCAGTAACCTACTAACGACTGTAGTCCGAAAGAGAACCAGTCTTATTTTTATTTATTGACTTCAAAAAGGGTCGCAAATTTACCTTGCCAAAAGGTCATTGAAACAATAACAAACCACGACCTGGTGTGGGGGGTGTTCAAACACCCCCCACACCAGGTCGTGGAAAATCTAGACTGACACTGGGGCGCGGGTTAAAGCAATCGAGCAATCCTACGTAACTCAATGGCCTGACCTCGAACGACCGGATGCTGAACTTTTCACAAAACGTGCAGAAAAATGTAGGTTTAGGTATACTGGTGTGCAAAAAGCGTGGGAGCTATACGCGTCATCGTTCTTCACAAATATTGACGGCCAACTGTATACGGGCTGCTCATTAACATCGGCAGGACGAGCGCTTGTCGCTAAGCGACATCTACCTATTTCGGCTCGCATGCTGTAAAACGCACACAACTGGCTCTGATAAAAAAATGGTCCGTCATTCCTGGCACGCTATTGTTCAATGTTCCGATTGTTACTGCCAAACGTAGCTAAAATGTCGGGTTAAATATGCATGACTTTATGACACCTGAAACATGCTTATATAAGCGGTTGTACCGCCAGTCTCCGACCACTAGCGTCCACTGCACGGCGCCTCCCTGAGCTATATAATTCCTGTCGAAACTTCTCAGATATATGGTGGCTTGATGACGGTGCAGTACCACTTACCATCGCTCCTTGTGTGATAATTTGACCTCCACTTGACATTGACCAGTGACCGGAAAACGCTCGCAGTATGCGGTGTAGTACCAGCCGAGCAATGATAGATGTGTGAAACTTTTATAAGTGCGCGCAGCATATATGTGTGCAGCAGGGCTGGCGTAAGGCGTCGGTGTCGGTCCAGCACCCCGGTGCCAGTGCGCGAGGAGCGGGCGACTGTGTAAGGGTCGGAGGCAGTGCGCAAACCACTGCCCAGAGACAGTGGCTGCTGGTGATGGCCGGTCTTCACTTCGTGGGCAGAAATTGGTCATCGGCAAGTCACAACCACGCCACGGAGCCAGAGTTGCGAGTCACCGCTTTTCAAGATCCTCCTTACATCTGGATACACACCGGCCCTGATGGTGCCGTCACTTATGACGGTTATCTGTTTGAAGTTTGGAAAATAATAGCCCAGTCGTTGAAACTTCGTTACCGTCTAGTGCCTGTGCTGGGAAATCAGTTCCAATACGGGAGGCTAGACGAAAACGGGACACGGAGCGGACTAATCGGAGAGCTGGCCTATGGGAGAGCCGATGTTGCCCTGACCTGGCTCCAGATCAAGAATGACCGATCGTCAGTGGTGGATTTTTTAGACAGCGCATCTATCGACGAAAGCTTCAGCGACTTTCACATTAGCATGAGCATGGATGATACGCCCAGCCTGACTGCTGACAGTTTCGGCTCTTTGCTAAAGCCGCTCAACATGTCCGTCTGGTGGCTCGTGCTCGGCGCATTCTTACTGCTCTCACTGGCGCTGAGGTTCTCCATTCGACTGAGTAGGACCGAGGACAGACAAACCAGCACAGAGATGACGTGGACGACCTGCCTGCTGTCTGTGTTCGGGTCATTCCTCGGCCAGGGCTGGTCCTCGGTGCCCAGCTCTTTGTCCGGCCGTATCATCATCATCCTTATCTGGCTCCTGTACATCATCATCGTCAACAGTTACACTGCCACATTGACCTCCTACCTAACTGTCGTCAAAATTGAACGACCAATCAGCAGCCTGAAGGAATTCCTTGAACGACCTGACTGGAAGCTTGTTATCAATCCAGATATTATCTATTTAAATGACTGGAAGGTGAGCAAAGATCCATTTGAAAGGCAATTATACCAACGAATTATGGAGAGAGATCGAAGCGCTCCTTACAACAACACAGAAGCCGACTTTCTTTCACTGGAGCCCAAAACACTGAGTTTCTTGGATGCTAGAGCAACATTCCGCAGGATTGGTAGCAAAGCTTGCATTCTCACTCCATTATATGATCGCCCTAAGCGAGGGTAACAGAAATTATATCGCCATCGCTAAAGGACGCGACGATCTGAGACAAGCCATGAACCGAGTGTTACAAAGAATGAACGAGGTGGGCATCCTCGTGCGGCTGAAGAAGAAGTGGACTCGGCGAACCCATGCGTGCACTGTTTCAAACGAGATAACGGCGACGCCAATCTCTTTGGACAACTCCATCGCTCTGCTGCTAATCATCCCGCTCGCCGTCACGGCCAGTCTGATCTTACTTCTTCTGGAGTACTTCTGGTATAACCGCGCTGGGAAACGGCTGATCGCAAATCAGCAAAACTACGACACAGGCGCAAGATAGAGCCATGTGAGAAAAGTCGATTAGTCAGAGAGGGGTGCGGATTCGTATAACTGGATCCGGTCATGATCAGCTGCGGTGTGGGAGAAGAAGGACTGATTTCGATTTCCAAATCCCTGACACCTATCTGGTGGGCGTTCGTCGATTGCGCCACCCAGTGACGGGTTTAAACGTTCTGCCAATTGCCATGCATAGGTATATTGCATAACGCAGGACAGGGCATTATACGGATACCCCAGTCAAAACAGTCCATGTCAATAATGCGGCCATTGTGCATAGCGAGCAGGGAGGCGACTGGTGTGATAAAAAGTTCAAAGTTTGATTTGTTATTGATGTGTGAGCAACATTTATAGCTTTCTGAGACCAATCCAATGCACGAATGGGTTTTATGCAGACTTATTGTGTTGCGTGGCGTTGCAGGGCTTTCAGAGTGCATCAGCTGCACGGGTTGGTGCGCATATTGCCACCTTGTGGATGCTTACGCTACCTACATAACAAACGTAGGGAAGAGGGGGAGGTGGGGGTGGGGGGGGGGGGCAATGTTCGTTGACCGTGGAGATCAGCTATAAGTCATTGTTACAAATGGCATCAATAAAACGTGTTCAGGCGTTCATTTTAGAGCGAGACCGTCGACTGTGGTGTCAGGCATTTGATGGGTAAGTAAATAGGTATAGCCGCGTTCAATGATTGGCGGAAAATAAAGTCGAGTCTTATTTCTTTGTTGACATGTAGGGGAGACCGGGGCTAGTTGGTGCCAGGGGTAAGTTGGGACGGAAGAGATAGGTATTTCCATTTTCCAATACTCATCGGCAGTTGGCGTTCAAACTTATTTTGCGCATGCACAGTAACGCCGTCTGTTTGTCAACGTGGTGTCAGCGCGTCCTGAGGTAAGTGCTGTTAATAAATCGCTAAAAATGTGTTTTCAGGTATGTACTGATTACTGAAAGCGATTTTCTTGCTTTGAAAATATTCTCTTCTAGTTCCATTGATAGTGGAAACATTGCGAATTCGCTATGCCTGAGAGACCTGCGGACATTTTGGCTATGAGTACCTACACTCTCAACCGTTCTTCGCCAAATCATTGTGAATTGGTCACGTGGCTCCAAAATGAAAATGGCGCTTCGGGGTTAGTTGGGCCAGGTTGATGTGGGGCAAGTTGCGAAAGTTTGTCAACAGCAAGTCGAGGGAGAAATGCTTGCAGTGTGAAGATTGGGCACATACGCTATGCACAGGGGGCAGCAGAGTCTTCATCTGTCAAAACTGTTACTCGGAGAGCGAATGAGTGGGGTTGGTAACTACTTGGTGGTGCATTTTGTAAAAGCATCTGAAGCTGGTCATACACATTTTGCGTGTGTGTGTTCTTGTTTGTCGCAGGAGTACTGCAAACGTTTGCGTTTTGTCATTAAATGTTGATAAACATGCCCGCATGGTTTAGCGATGACTGTTCATGTGAAACATGAATAAAAATGTGTTTAGATAAACTGCTTTCCTAGTGCACCAGCATGCCCCAACCCCTGGCCCGACTCACCCCGCCCGCTGGGTAAGTTGGGACATTGGAGGACATGGTCGTTTTGATATGACACCAAGACAATACTACCATCTCTCTTATATTAAGTCTTATTTAAAAGATAAAGAAATAAGCTCTCAGTAGCCAACTTAAACAATGATATGTATAGTTATACCGAAAATATTACGCTTCAAGTAAAAACTGGCCCAACTAACCCCGGTCTCCCCTAATTATGCGGTAGCTATATGTTTTTCAGACATTTATTAAAATTAATTACGGATCCAAGGCCCTAATAAGCCTCAAATAACAACATAAAGGTAGTGAGTAAAGAATCATTCATTACAACTTAACAGTAACATGAGCGAGTAGCGACATGCTTGTATGACTCCTACATTTATCAGAGAACTCAGATTTGTTTTTCAATAGAAAAAACACAATTCTAAAGAATAGTGTTTTAGCTATTGACAACAAACCTTCGGTTACAACGACAAGCAGTATAAGGTATATGGACATGTTTTCATCGGAGTCAAGTTTCTAACGAACACGTTGAATTCAGTGAAATGCGTAGAAAAATGAATCTGAGCGAAGAAGTGACAAGAAGTGAGCGAGTAAGCAAAAAGTGACATGACAAATCTATACTTCCTTGTAAGCCCTATCATGAACTTTGAGTATCCAGAGTCGTATAATGAAAATATGGTGTTATGAAGTAGTACGATTACAGTAATGCACAACATTATATAACATAAGCCTACTTATAAGTAGTTAATTACCTCAGCAGTATGAGAGCGCTGGAGCACAGTATATAAAACATTCCTCTGTGTGATGAAGGATGACTTATAAATCGTTCTATGTAGGTATGAAATCATAAAGGCATTGAAAGAGGAATTAGTAGGAAGGAACCTATTATGCAAAACAATAACAAAAGGCAAAGTAGTGCTATCAAAGGCACATTTCACAACGTTCGCACAGGCATATCAAATCAACTCGCACTCTCAAACTGCCATAACACCTTTCTTAATGCCATTGTGCATTCATATAGCAGACGTGAAGTAGTTATTCTCTCGCATAGGACGATAATATAAGTGTCACAGATTGGGGTTTGGCACTGTTTTTAGAGAATGTACGAAGACAAATCCTTATCCTTCTCCAATGAATGGAGGCACCCGAATGAATCCCCGCTGGCGTCTGAGCGCCTGCCTAACCACATTTACCACAATTTAGGTATCCCGTCTCCATATGTACCGGCTGACTGTTAACTCTCAACAGCGGGACGAAATTTGCACCTCTGCCCTTCGTGTTACTATGGTCATAGGTTGGGCAGAAATGGACGAAAACAGGACCGGGGCCGGCGGCACGGAGGGGAGACGGGGGAGGGGAAGGGGAGGGAGAGGGGAGGGCCACCGTCACAGTCGCGCGCGGTTCTGCCGCGAGGGTCGACCCCGTCCGCGCGCGACGGAGGTTGTGAGGTACTTAAATACTGTTGTGAATGCTCGCCGGCCGTGGTGGTCGCTCATTTGGCGATTTGTGAGAACTCGAAGGAACTGCTCGTTCGTGACAGGTAAGGAATGGGAAGTTTACTGCGGTTTGTTGGTGTGGGTCTGCTGTTACGAAGCGACATAGGTATGTATTTGCCATTGCATATTCGAAACAATAGACGATAAACCCATTATCACACGATCATTATGGCTGTGTTCGCCCCTGCTCCTACGAAGAAAAGAAAGAGATAGAAGGTCAGGCGGGCTCGGATGAACGCTGTACCTGTACCACAGGTCAGGTCAAGGTAAGGTCAAGAGCAAAAAGTACAGGTTTCAATACATTATTGGCTGAGGAGCTGAGTTGGGGAATAATAGATTGAGATTGATACTTCAGAAAACGTTATTATGCTATCAACACAAGGCGCGGTGCGGTACCTACATAAAACCTCATCAAAAGTCCAAAGTCAAGGACAGCTCAAATCACCAAAGCCGACCTATTTAAGAGGATATGTGCGACTTATGTTTTTTCATTTTACTCCCAGAACTCAATGACCATACCCATTCAAATAGCTTGATATTGACCATAATTGGTTGAAGTTCAGGTCTGTTACGGCGAACGACGACGAACCGGAGGACCAAACGTTAGACGAAACGATTAACGACTGATAGGTATTTATATTATGCTGGAAATTATTGAGATAGATGACTTAGAACTGACGCATGAAGCGAGCAGGAAACGACGAGACGAGAATGAATGTGAATGAATGACAGATGAATGATATAAAACGAGCAAGGCGAGTCGATCACTTAATTCAAGTACGAAATACGAAAACATGTAACGAATATTTTCGAAGCACACAAGTTCACAAACTCGTTTTCCAAAAATACAAAAAATACATCAAATTTCATAATCTCGTGATAATGTCACACGCGCGACGTAACAAGGTGATCCGCTGCGCGGCGGCAACAAGGTCTAAGTTAGGTCAATGTCAGTACTGAGGTCAAATTTTGAGGGTGGGCTAAGGGCTTTAAGAAAAAAATGTCCTACCTGATGCAATTGTTCACGACAAATCGCATGGTGCTAGTTATTTTATTATATTTCTTGTTATATTATTGTATCCAATTTTTATATTCCGATTGTTGAGAAATTCATTGATATTGCAAAAGTATCGAATGCAACCATGCATGCAAATAATAGCCGTTTATTTTGTCTTATTATTTTGCAGTACCTATTTATAACAATTTGTCATTTTACATTTCTGTTTCGCTCATTTTATATTCTATTTCGTCCAACTCCCTTCGCCTTTTGACAGCTAAAGTGCGATGCTCGGCTTTCGCTGATCGGCATAATGGGGCGACGAAAAGCACCTGAGAAGATTATCAGGAAGCCATTCATTCTAACAAAAGATGAGCCCGACTTGGTGCTGGAAGATCTGCCTACGGAAATGTTGTTCAGGATTATGAGGTTCCTAGCAATTGATGACCTCTATGCAATCCGAATGGGTATGTAATAAATATGTATATTATTGTTTGTAATGTAATGCCTAGATGTAGGAGTAGCTAATCGGTGCTCTCACGCTGGCTTTTGCTAAGGGTGGGTGTAATTACAATTTTCTTCGCGTGTCCTTTCAATCGGTTTAGGGTTACAGACTGCAGCATCAACAGAAGTCCGACGTTTAGTTAATTTTTAATTGAGCTTATTGTCATCCGTTTTATTGAATTTATATATGAATTACAGGGCCTCGAAATCAGCGCGTCTGGCATGTCACAGTTGTGTTTGGGGTTACGACTTACGAACCCACGTCTTATAGACGATCAATTGTTCCGCTCCGATAGGTCCGCTCCCTTATGCAGCCGGCTATCGGTGTAATAAAATACACTCGCACGGCAGCCGCCCCTCTCCCAACCTGCGATGTTCCCTTCCGCAGCCAGTCCCCGGCTGTACAGCGTCGCCGGGGCCGAGGTGCGACGAAGACACTTCCGCACCCTGATGTACACCGACAAGAGTCTCCCGGCCGTCATCGACGACGCCAAGCTGGCCTGGATGGTGTCCAACATGCCGCAGCTGCAGACCATCAACCTGGGACGCGTGACGCCCGAGTGCCAGCCGCTCTCACTGGGCGTTATAGGTCAGTGGGCGTTATCGCTGGGCGTTATCGGTCAGTGGAGCCGGCGCGGGGTCGATGGGCGCTTGCTGCGGACTGATGACCGAACTCGACTGGTAAAACGCGGCGCGAGATAGGGACCAAATAGAGTCAGCTTCGGTAAATTGGTTTGGAAGAGCCGACCGTACTGATTGGGAATGTGCGTGACCAGACGGTCAACGGCTAATGAGTAATGATGTGGTACTTTTATTGTTGCCGTGAACTGCGAAGTTAATAATTCAGGTTTAATAATTGATAAGTCTCTAAAATAATCAAATAAAACATGCAGTTAACAATAAAATAGTCGAGGAACTTTAAGTGAGTTTCCACACCTTTTCGCGGCCTCTTAGTTCCAACATGTCTCTTTTGGGCTTCAGCAAAAACAGTAAATCTGAATAGGTACATTATCAATTGACACATCAAACAATACCAGTTTCAGTTATCTCATGGCATCCAATGTAACGTTTTTCAGCCGAACACTGCTCGTCTCTGAGACGGATCGACTTCCGGCGGTTCCGGTTCACGAGAGGCCACTTCGAAAAGTTAATTGCCAACTGCCCCAATTTACTGAAGGTGAGCCGAAACCATGGGAACGATGTTAGGAGGATGTGCTGCTAATTGCAAGCACGATAATCGCCACAGAGCTAATGGAGCGCAAGTAGTTAATGATCGGCAAAAGGCACACTTGCAATAAACGACGAGCCGTGTATGCTGTTGGGGATTCGTTGCCAGCGTTTAACAATCTGTAAAAGCCGTGTTTCATTATTCGTTATCCGTGTGCTACTTGCCCGTTTGACGTGCGAAGTGCGAACTGTGTCAGCCGTCATACCATCGTCCCCCGGCCTCCTCCCGTACCGACACATTCTCTCCCCCCCCTCACATCATTCCACGTTGCATTGACGACGCTGCCCTCTTCCTGCAGCTCTGTCTGTGAAGCTACAGGTCGATACTTGATCGATACCGCTACTGATGTTGATACTGCTACTGGAGTGATTGCTGAATAATGACAATGATGTTCTCGTTACAGAGACAGTACGGCGTGCGATTCCGGATGTCTATTTATGAAGAGATCGACGACTTTGAGCTGCAGACCTGCGTGAAGATCACCAGGCCAGAACCGGAGGAACCAGTCACGTACCGGAGCAGGAAGGGTCGAGAAAGAAGCAGAAGATCAGTAGAGGAGCCTGGAGCTCAACGTGATTCGGTATGAGATGCATTAAATGTGGACAGTTGTGGCGTGGTTTATTTTCAGCGGTGGTGTATTTTCTTATGTCGTTGTTTTTCTTATGTCGTCGTTGTTATGCGGACGTCGTTTGACCTCTGCATTCAGCAATATGAATATCATGAACAGTGAACACCAATGAACGCATTGAAGTGGTTGGCTCGTGGTACATTAGTTTCGCTGAGAGGTCGAATGGGCTTGGCCCAATGGTAAAGTATGATTATAGTGCTCGAATCAGTTCCTATCTGTATGCAGATACATGCTTTCAAAAGATGTTCATTGTGCGAGCATTTATGTGCCTCCTTTTTTTTTAGTTGACCGTTCATTTTTCGTTCTTACTCCGGCATCGAGAAATTCGACATTTTATTTAACCGAGTGCTGATGCGCAGTGGCGTAGACAGGGGGGGCCATGGGGGCCATGGCCCCCCCTTTCCGCCCAGCCGCCCAAATGGCGCCCCAATTAGCGCCGACTAGGCTGATGCCGTTTTACAGAGAGAACATGAATTAAAAAGTGGTGTGCAGGCAGGGATCGAACTCAATATCTCTTTGGGGGTGCCTGGACACCTAAATGTTCTCCAGGGCACCCCCAAATACGACCTGGGCCCCCAAATGTTGAAGGGCGCCCCTCCGGAAACCAGAATATTCCGAACCCCCAGGGTCGATGGCGCCCCTGAAGAGCAACTGGCACCCACCTGAACGGAACAGTCGCCCCATTAAAGCTTGATGGCGCCCCTCTAGAGCACCCGGCGCCCTTCTGAAGTTCACAGCCATGCCCCATTCGGCCCCATCCAAGATCGATGGCGCCCCTGAAACCACTGGCGCCCCTCTAAAGCACCCGCACTCTTCTCAAGATCACAGCCGCCCTATCCGAGATCAATAGCGCCCTCAAGAGCCACTCCCGCCGCCCCCTTGAGACTGAAGTCGTCCCGCTTCAGACTAAAGTCGCCCCATTCAAGCCCAATGACGCCCCTCCAGAGCGTCCGACGCGCTTCTGAAGATCACAGTTGTCCTCATCCGAGGTCGCTGGCGCCCCTCAAAAGTCACTGGCGCACATCTAAACAGAGATTACAACTGCACCATCTTAAGATCGATGGCAACCCTCTGAAACCAATGGCGCCCTTCTAGAGTACCCGGCATCCCTCTGAAAATCACATTCGCCCCATCCGAGACAACGCCCCTTGAGACTACAGTCGCGCCACCCAAGCTCAAGGCGCCCCTCCAGAGCCTCCGGCGCCCTGCTGAAGGCATCAGTGGCCCCATCTATGCCCAATGGCCGATGGCGCCCCTCAACGCCGTTCTAAAGATCACAGTCGCCCCATCAATCCGAGGTCGTTGACTCGCTGGCGCCCCTCAAGACTCAAGAGCCACTGGCGCCCACCTGAACCGGGACTTCAGTAGGCCCATCCTTGATCAATGGCGCCCCTCTGAAACCACTGGTCCTGGTGCCCCTCTGAAAATCCCAGTCGGACCATCCGAGATCAATGGCGCCCCTCCAGAGCGTCCGGCGCCCTACTGAATGCTGCAGTGACCCCATCCAAGCATTGCACCCCTCTAGACCACACCTTCAGAAGGTGCCCTTCTGAAGATCACATTTGCCCTATCCGAGGTCGTTGGCGCCCTCCAGTAGTCGCTGACGCCAATCTGAATGGAGACTTCGGTCGCCCCGCCCCATTTAAGATCGATAGCGCCCCACCCCCCGAAACCACTGACGCTTGAATTATTTGACAATGGGGCTTTCTCATCGATACCAAGGGCCCTTTTCAAGATGCAGCAGCCAGGCGGCGCCGAGCGGGGCTAGGATGTGCCAAGCGTTTCTTATAGGGCAGCCTCGTTAGTGCCACCCCTCGTTGCAATACCGCCCCTCAATGCGATGCTGCCCCTTCACCGTACAATGCCACCCCTCAGTGCAAGTGGTGCTCCTCAGCGCAGTGCCGCCCATTATTGCGATGCCGCCAGCGCCTAGCAGTGCGGTGCCGCCCCCAGCGTAAGCGTTGTTTTTTTTTTAACTTGAACCTGCTGGGGGTGTTTGAACACCCACTTCTAACTCAGCTTGTGGGCCACGTCGAGACACGCAGTAGGCGGCGTTCGAAAGAGTGTCAAAAACTATTACAAAACTACTTAGATCATTTTTAAGGTTAAGTCGGACTGGTCGAAGGTCAGGTCAACAGAGACAACCGAAAATAAATTATATAGGGTGTTTCATTGCTCTACCATATCTCTATCAAAAGCTATTGTCCAAAAGCTACTGGAGGCCTTTCATGACCTAAGATGACGTCGTTAACATAAGAGTGGTCACATCACGACTCACGAGTGACATTTCTTGATTAAATGTGTCATATTTACCTGTATCCAGATGTTTGTGGTTGTTTTCGCTCAGAAGAAGAGCATTTCAATTGTCTCAAATTACTCCGCACCGTGCTGGGGGAGGGCGTTTTTACGCCCCCCCCCCTCCTTAGGTTTTTTCGCGAATATCTAAAAAACGGCGTCGCGCGCGCTGCTGTTTTTGGTACACCTGCTCATAATCTTTTCTACACATATTGTGAAAATTCAGATCAGGGTCGTTCAAGGTCAGGTCACCAGGGCACGTCAAGTGACCTTACCTAAAAAAAAGTTTAAAGGCTCGCTATAGCTACACCGACTGAACGATCACTTTTTGAAACTTTCAGAGATTGATAAGACAAACAATATGCATAAAATTTTTCTCTCGGACTTTTGGTTTCTGTGACCTAAGGTCAGGTCAATTTTGCGACCTCTCCATTTTAAGTCAGTGGGAGAAAAGTGAAATGCGCCTCTTTTGGACTAATGTCGTGCAAAACCCTCTCAAGCATCGGTTCATGGGAAAACATAGCACACTGAATCGGAAAAAGCACCTTTCTGTGTGCCCCTGAGGTCATCTCAGGTCATAAACGGTCGCCGGCAGTTTTTTTTTTGCTATAACCTTTGATAGAGACGTGCTAAAGCTGTGAAAACACGTCAGATGTGGTCAGCTCGACGATACAGATCGACTGATATGCAGCATGACCTTGACCTGAGGCCAAATTTTCAAAATGACCTTTCAAGGTCAACATATTGTTCATTCGACGCGTCTCGACGAGAGGAACACAATGCAGGCAAATTAACTATCGTCACCCTCTTGAGCCAAACGTTATTGCAGAAAAACGCTTTTCATAAAATCTGCTATTTTTTGAGTTTTTGCCCTCTGGAGGCTAAACCGTTGACCTGATATCAAATCTGAGAGCAATATTCAGTAAGGTCTGTAAAAGAGCTTTCGAATGCGCTTTTCCGCGGGGCTGTAGCTATATTGGTTCCCGAGTTAGCCGTTGGCAGTTTCCAAAATTGTTGAAATGGACTAAATTTGACATTTGGTGACCTCCAGGGGCGTCGTTTTGTATAGGCCTGGGAGTGCCCGAGCACTACCAATGTTCAGCTGAGCACTACCAATGTGTTGTTGAGCACTACCAACATTTTTCTTCACTTATTGAGAAAATTGCATTCAAACATGTCATACAAATAAAATGAATGAGGTTCTTATGTATAAAATCAACATGATAGCAAGTAACTTCAATGGTAAGTGGTAACTATTGATGAAAATCTATAGACTTACTCCACAAGTAGATTGAATTTGAATTGGTTGACCAATTCAATCTTCTTGTAGCGTACCTAAGTCCATAAATTTCCATCAATACCTAGGTATCATTTTCACTTTCCACATCATGTCATTACGTCAAGTAATTTCAAGTTATGTGGTACCTACCTACCTACCTACCTACCAAGTTTCACAATAGTCAGGGGCGTCGTTTTGTATAGGCCTGGTAGGGCCCGAGCCTTACCAATGTTTATTTGGGCCCTACCAATGTTCGCTGAGCCCTACCAATCTTTTGTCACTTATCAGTTGATAAAAAATCAAAATAAACAGATAAGCAAATATTAACCCTCGCCGGCCGAGGGGGGGTGGCGGGTGCCGCCCCCCCCCCATAGGGTTTTTTTCGCGATAGCTCCGAACACGCTGGCGATAGAGAGCTGAAACTTGGCATACCTGACCTTTGATCCAAGCCGGATCTTTTGACACCAACCGCATTTTTGGGTCAGGTCAGGTCACTGACCTATGACGTCACAAGTGAACCTCTGCACGGTCTTCAGATGTCGCAACTTCGCAACGCCCTCACTGCCAGAGGAGATGTCACAGGAAAATGAAACTTGCAGGATCTAGTATCCATTATGAGTCCCACAACTTGTATATCTCGGATTTTTCCTAAAGGTCATGTGAGGTCAGGTCATTTTCGTGACCTCACCATTATAAGTCAATGGGGAAAAATGAAAACTGCTATTCTGGCGCCGGGAACGATCTCCAACTATCTCAAGCACACAGAATCGTGATTTGATGCACTCCTTGCAAGGTTAGATGCGTCACTTTTGCAATGTTGACCTTTCGTGACGTCATTTATGACGTCATCAAGGTCATATTAGTTTTTCGTCAATAACTCTTGATCAAATTGAGCTAGCGAGTCGGGAAAGCCACCAATGGACTCAGGAAGGCCTGCCGAATCGAATGATATGCGACATGACCTCTTTCGACCAACTTCGTGACCTGGGGGTGCTGACCTGACCTTGACCTGAGGTCAACACCCCAAGTTGACCTGGCCCGGACAAAACGTATATCATTCGACGCGCCTGAGCAAGGCGAACACGATGCTACCAAAATCGGCGCTCTGTGGCCGTTTTTTGCGAAGTTATTCACCAAAAACTGAACCGTACCTTGGGGCACTTGACCTGACCTCAGAGGTCACCGGTTGACCTAGGACCTTAAAATCGGGTACCAATCTCTGCGTCTCGTAACGGCGCACACGCTCGTTTTTTCCGCGACGCGCTAGCTCCACCAGGGGCGAAACGGCGAGGGGGGGGTCGTACCCGCCCCCCCCCCCTCGTCCGGCGCGTATGTAGAAAACCAATAGGTCCGGCGAGGGTTAAATAAGCACATATGTAAGTACATAAATAAGGTTCTAGCCACAGTAGGTGCATGTAGCTGACAATGAGGTTTCACGTGTCTAGGACTCCGGTCCTTAATGGATTTTAAGAGGCTCGAAAACGCAATTGGTTATAGAGGTCCATAACTGCCTCTGAGTCCCGCATACCACGCGACCGCCCCTAATAGACCCCGATCCGTCTCCACACCAGCCGCTGGAGGCCCTACACCGACTTCGGAAGGTGCCGCGGTGCTCCAGATTAGGCCATAGGTATATTGATTTGAGTGGTTGATGCAGCCTGATTCCCCAGGGTTCAACGCCAGGTCATTACCGCATCAGACCCCGAAAACTGAAGCTCGTAACTACGAGGGGCGTTCAAAAAGTTTCGGGCCGAACAATGAAGGAGTTGGAATTTTGGCCTGCAAGGCGGTGTGTTAAATGATGTGTTATTGGGATGTCCACTTACGCAAATTAAGTAAGCGGCCATTAATTAAGTCTCTTCTGTGATTGATTCGGGCTTCTATTCGTAGCATAGTTCGTCATTTCGGATAGGATGGGCGACGCCCAGAAGAGAGCAGTGATTCGTTTCATAGTAGTTAGTGCAGAAAAGGCACCAAGCGTTAACCCTCGCCCTGGGCATTTTTCATAACACGGCCTGGCAGGGGGAGGGGTCGATGCGACCCCCCTCCGCTCGTCAACTTTCCAAAACAGGGGCACACAATTGATGATGTGCGTCCATTCGATAAACATCGAGGAGAGGCTATAGGGAAGCTGACGTAAAGTGTGCACCTGATCCGCGACCACGCACCTGCGTACATGGGCGGGATGACGAACAGTGAAGCGATGAGCTTCGAGTTGTTGTCGCATCCACTTTTTTCTCTCCGAACCTTGCACACTCTGGTTAGTGGTTGCCACCTCTTCCCCAACATAAGAAAATTAGCAGCGGCAACCCCGCTAACAGCAGGGAGACGAAATCAGCCGTCTTGGACGTGCGGGATGGGTCCAAAACCCACTTGGTTATGGAGGCCTTGAGGGCTCTCGCGAAGCGCTGCGCGAAATGTGTTTGTCTTAACGGTGTTTATTTGAATAAATGAACTTTTTGGTCTTATGAGTCGATGCTGTATCTCTCTGCTCCTTCATGGTCGGGCCCGTAGCTTTCTGAACGCCCCTCGTACTGTCATCCTTTTATTTTGGCAAGCAGGTCTTTCTAACTATCGTTGTGTTTCCAGTCCTCGTTAATTGTCGAACCCTTCAATTGGCGTGGGTCTTCAAAACCGTTCCTGGCCCCGCAGCCGTCTTTTTTAGTCGGCTTGGGCCCTCAAAGCTGTTCCTGTCCCCTTTCAGCACAGCCGTCCTTTTAAGTCGATGTGGACCTCTTTCAGAATGGCGTGCATTCCTCCGACACTATTGCCTATATAACTGCACGTTTTGTGCATGGCGTCCGGTGTGGACCCAGATTTCCAAAGTTTTTTTTTGTGCTTTTTTTTAGATTTCGGTTAGTCTTGTCAATGACCAGGGCGAAAAATAAGTGGCCGAAATCCGATGAGAAAGGCAGATTTGGGGGTACCCTACCTTGTAAGCCCCGTCATATATGGCCAGCCGCCGCCTTTGGGCACTACCAATCATTTTCGGAAAACGACACCCCTGGTGACCTCTGGTGACCTGACCTTTGACCTGACCTAAAACTTGAACGAAGTCTTTCCGTCATTATTTTTTTACGCTCTTTCGATTGCCCCTTACCGCGTGTGAACGAGATCAGCAAGTCTCTATGGCGCTTATTCAAAGTCGATCATGCACACTCATCATCAAAAGTCATCTTCTATTGACTACGTCGACCGAAGACATCATAAAACTTCGTGTCACTATATGGGAAAGTCTCACGCCTCACCCATATGGCACTCATGCAGTCATGCATGTCCACAAGTAGGGGCTTCGCGCACTAGACATCGAATGGTAAAGGTGATTTGTGGAGAAAAAAAAAATCCAGAACGTGTCAGCGTTCGGTCGCCTCTGACTGCAGTCGCTGCTGGTATATGATAATGAGTTTGGATCTCATGGTGGATATCATAGTCGTAAATGTTCAAGTCTTTCCTTGACTCAATTTAGGCAATTAGTCGCAGCGTGAATCCTACATACGTGCGGTCTGAGATTCTAAGCACGGCCACTCCGGTTGACCAGAGGCTACAGTTCACAGGTCACTTTGGATCAGTGAGTGAACCTGTATTTTTTTTTTTCAAAGAATAAAAATTGTGCCTATCGATCAACGTGTATTTTACCTTTTCGAATTCGCATGGGTGCGTATTTTGAGTATAAAATGTCCGTAGCCTGAGCTCGTTTCCTATATCGCGCTAAATATGCATAAAGATCAAGGTTTTTGATAAAATAAACACCGGGCTGCAAATTGCATTAATCGGATTTTATGGAAAAAACAGCGAAACCTGGTTCTTATCCTCGTATTTTGCAACACCTAGTAAATCATACCTGAATATATGACGTTACATTTTAGACTGACGCCCCTGACACTAGCTCACAATGGCGCCCCTCTCAAGGGACAAAGTCGCCCCCTCGAGCACCATGGCCCCCCTTTCGCCGATTTCTGGCTACGCCACTGCTGATGCGTATTTCCTGTGTGTGTACATACATATTTTCTCACCATAACCTGCGGAATCTTAATGGTTGTTTGTAAGCTTTGAAGTCCCCACTGCAGCAAGCATCCCCGAGGAATGCTAAGATTTAGTGAAGGCCCTGCCTGTATGAACGACAACTGACAAGGAGCTCACTGTCAGTGTAAACTGCAGATCTCCAGTCATTACACAGTAAAAACAAAACCAAGCCAAAAAATGTCATTCAGGCCTGTATTTTTTCTTTATATAACCCGAAAGTCGTGACATCTCTACAATTTATAAATGCAAAGCAAAGCATTTAAGATTCGCGGAATATACCAGAGTGCAGCTGTAAGACACACCCGTTAATGTTACAATGCCCGTGTGAAATATGTAATGGAATGTTCACTGGACATCGTTCAGTTTACAGCCACATGTTACGTCTTGGCGGTCTTGGAATGTGCAGTCATGGATGAAATAATACCCTCACCATGGTCCATCCATCCATGGTGTTATCTCATCCATTGTGCAGTCTAACACCACACAGCTTTTTCAGATACCACCGTGCACACAATGAGCAATAGCACACACGAACACCGCTGATAAATATCACGCAAAATTCATTCAGAACTAACACCTTTCGTCACCAAAGATTCGCTTGGCATCACGCGCCGGGCGCCGGGGTGACGGGCGCCTCGAGCAGCAGCTGACCGGCCCGGGTCAGCCGGCACGTAACCAGGTCCGGGTCGACGTGTGTCGGCAGCGGCAGCCGGCGCGCCAGCCGCAGCTGGCAGCTGCCGCCGTCCCCGGCCGTCTCCTCGTGCACGGCCTCGATGACCAGGTGGCGGCCGCTGACGCGCACCTCCACCTCCTCCGGAAGGAAGCTGCTCACATCCACCGAGGCCAGCACGCTACTCTGGCCGCACTCGGAGGCCGGCGACCCGGACCGCACCGCCACCGGCACGTCCTCCTGCCGGGCGGCCGCCTCGGCCTCCAGGTCAACGACCTCGGCTGGCTCATCGGCAGCAGCAACGGAGGGAGCGGGCTCGACAGGCGCAGCCTCAGCTGGCTCGAAGACATCGTCCTGAGACTTCTCTGTGGGGTTCTCCGCGCTCTCTGAGCTCATCTCCGGATTCTCTTTATCTTCAGCAGCCGCTTCAACATCTACAGCCACGTCCGGTCCGTCAGACTGTTCAGCTTCCCCTTCGTGCGCCTGCTCCCCTTGGACCTCCTCCTGGTCGGTGCAGGTCTTCTCAGTACGGCTCTCCTCAGTCTCCTCACCCTCCTCAGCGGTCTTTTCCTCCCCTTCTTTGAAGGCCGGAGTATCGTAGGTGACGGGCACCACGATGACCTTCCGCTGGTCACGAGGGCACCGACCGCACCTCTCGCTGGGCTCGGCGGCCGGCGCCTCCATCACCAGCTGGCCGGCCGGCGTCCAGCGCGAGCTGAGCTGGTCGGCCCGCACGTGCTGCGGCAGGCTCAGCCGGCGCACCATCCTGCTGTGGCTGAAGCCGGTGTCGGAGCGCTCGCGGTGGCAGGCGGACACGGTGACCTGGCCGTCGGCCGACAGCCGGACGCGCACCTCGTCCGGACGGTAGCCGGCCACGTCGACCACCTGCCGGTAGCCGTCAGACTCTGCGGCGGGCCGGCAGCACACCCGCTTACCGCCCGGTCCCTGCAGCTGCAGCGGCAGCTCGGGACCCCTCTTCAGAGCGGGCCGCCGCAGCCATAGACAGCGCGGCTCCCGGCGGGCTCCAGACTCGAGCCACTCGCTCCAGGGGCTCCACGACGGCAGCCGACTGGGCTCGACGAAAAAAGTAACAGGCATGTTCGCTTGTATCGCTACAATAGACCCCTCCAGTCCTCCAACACGGTAAGTTCTGCTGCAGATCGCTTTCATCCGCCGGTTATATCAGCCGACGCGTTAGTGCCTGGAGTGGCTGAGAAAGATCGGGAGCACGGGTTACGTCACGCCACCGTACTAGTCATTCATGGCCGGGAACTGACGATCACAGTCGGGAAAACTCTCGATGCTCTGATAGGTTGGCCCGTTGCCGTCATGACGTCATACTAAGACCGCAGCCAATGAGCGCCGAGAGACTCGTTGTGTTACGCGACAGAGGTAGGAGCCAGTTCGCGCGGCAGATCATAGGCGATGAGTGGCGGTATGCGGTCTATGGACTCGTGGCGTAACTCATTGTCCAACATTTACAAAGTAGGTATAGCGATGAATGATAATGCAAGGTAACTGGTCTTGGGTATGGCCGAAGCCGGTGTCAGATAGCAGCACACAGCTATGCGATAAATTTTTGAAACTGAAGTCACCAGTGACTTTCATTTGAAGTTTGAGCCTCAGGAAAAGGAGCGACCACCGTGATCTCATAATTATTGCAGGTGACTCATGTTTTTTTCATTCCATGCAACATGCTACGTATGTACGTACGTTGTACAGTGTACCTATATATGACGCACACCTTTTGCTCGGCGACGGCCGCCCCCCTCCCCGCCAGCCGCCTGACCTATCCATCATGTGAGGCCCGCTGTGGGTCTAGGCGTTGGCACCGTCTTGCCGGCGCTTCGCCGTCTTGCCAGCAATCATGTATTTAGATGAATATGCTTTTGCCAATCTGTTTGTACCGAACTTCTGCTCATGTGTATCTTTTAGGGCGTAGCTAAATTTTTGCTTTTTAAGTGCATGATATCTTTAGGGTGTATGATCAGATGTTTTGTTGATGCAGGGCTGGTAAAGTGTTATGTCCTATTGACGTCGTCGGGGACACAGTACCAGTAAAAGTTCAAGTACCCGGGGTCAAAATTACCACATTTAGTAAACTTTTACAGTAATAAATAACTTTCAAATAAAGCAGAAACTAAACGCAAGTAAAAGATATCATTGAATCCACAACGTATATCCCCTTTAACAAGGACATAAAAAGCCCCTATACCTAATGCATACCTACAACATGGTTATGAACAATTAGTAGCCACAACTCACTTCCGTTAACAGCAAACTACCGTCGACAGTTGCTAACGAAAACTAGATCAAACTAGATGATCAAACACATACTAACAGACGCTTAGACACCGACCCCGCTGTCGGCTGTGCTATTTCAAGCGGGGTTGATTGACGACCAGTTGTAGCCAGCTATACGACTAGACAAACGACTAGATTCGGAACCGGGGTCGGACCGGTTGGACATGGTAAATTCATGCGGGGTCGATAGTTTCTAGCCGTCGTCGTTGTGAGCTACCGATACAATAGCGACACCTATTGCATCTGTTCGACGATCGTAGCGCCCCCTACCCTTTCCGGGTTCTTCGTCTGTTACGCTACCCGCTGACCGAGTGATGCCGTGACATTTAATTAACAAACTGGAAATTTCGAAGCGCGAGTCTGATAAGCAATTTAGTAAAGCAATTTTACATATGACTGCTCGTAAACAAATAATATAGAAATGAAACCTAAGGAAACGTGCATCGTAGTTGCATGCAGCCTGCAATATGAATCGTAAAAAGGTCGGGGTCATTTTACGCTCTCATTTTTTGGTCGGGGACGCAATTTGCTTTTTTACCAGCCCTGTGTTGATGTTTTGTTGTTCGATATTGTTGTACGATTTGATATCGATACGTTTATACGATCGAAAGCGATGCGAACCTCGAAATGTGATGTTAGGTAGCCCTGCATGATGACCACGAGACAAACGAATTTTGAATTTTTCACTTTTTAGGGGAAGCGGGGGTAACACCGCCCCCCTAAGCTTTTCGCCAAAATGTGAGAATCATTTTCTCACGTGTTTTAGGTACTTATTTTGCATGCTCCTTAAAGGTTTTCATGCATCACGACTTTAAAAAATACCTTGCATATTTGCCGCCTACAAATTGTGTGAGTAACCCCGCCACCGGTGTTGATGTTAACCCAACCCATTCCTACGAAAGCTTTTAATTGTTCAGAGATCGCGTGCGATGAGTTTCCTGTCGGTAAGTGGTAATTTTCGCAAATAATCAGTAATGGACACCCTAAATAGGTATAGGTTCATCAGCTGTTTGCCAGTTATATACAGCTGGCAAGTGCTTGGTCGGGATGCATGAAAAATATAAAGTAAAAAAAAATCAAATAAGCTGCTTATTCCCGACTTAGGAACATCTACGAACATAAATAAACGCGTGTCTTTGGAGTTTCATCACTTATCACGCTACAAACAGGAAACACCGCAACCTCAATTGGGGTAACACCGCCACGGGGTGGCGGTGTTCCCCAATAAGTGATCACAAGCAAAAATCGCCAGCGGCAAGAATGTACTACACGGTTCAAGCAAACCTATCTTACTGGACAAAGCCGATCAGTTATTTTTCGATGTAATCAAGTAAATCAAAATGAGTCTCTAGGCTTAAAGACATTCAAAAGTGCTCCCAACTCATGGCATTTTTATAAGAGAATGTGCATTTTTCTTTAAATGCCCACATTGAGCTTCGAATACACTGAAACACCGGAACACAAATCAGAAGACGCTTACCTTCGTGCAGTTAATAGGAAATAACGGATTTTTACACTTCACATTTCATACTTTCGCCGCCACATGGGGTGGCGGTGTTTCCCACAGTGGCTGTGTTCCCCCCGCTTCCCCTACAAGCAGTCGACAATTGTTGCGCATTTCACTCGCTACTTTTGCCTTGTACGAACCCTATTAGTGGCAGGCTCCTGGCTACCCCTATTAGTGGCAGGGGGGGGGGGGGGCTGTTTACGACCCCCCCTTGATATCTCGAGATCTAACTGGCCGATTTTCAAAATTCAAACGGCATTCGATTTCGCTCAACGAGATCTACATTTCTAAAAAAAAATAAAATTAAAAAATGTCAATAGGGGGTAGAGGGGGGTAAAAACGGGCAAATTGCAGATACATTTTAGACTGTTTATCACGGCCAGGTTTCTGAACCAATCTTAACGCAACTTTTGCCGATCGATAGAGAATGAACCAGGAATTCACATGGATCCTAAAAATATGCATTTTCAAAAATCATAGGCGGATACAGATCATTGAGATTGGGGGTACACAAAAAGTATAGTAAATAAGGTTTTTGTCGGTACTGTTTCTAAAAAGGGTGGCAATGGTCTTGTTATGTTACAATTTTCTTATGAGAGAACGACTAAAATTGTATTGGTCATGCATAGGCGGTGTCAGGGCACCTATGTTGGGAGGTAAAAAATAACCCCCTTTTTGGACGCCTGGATCCGCCTATTATAGCAAAAACGTGTCAAAAGAGGATGCACAATAACTTTGTATATGTTATCACATGATACCTTTCATTCACTGTTCGTAAAACTGGTGCAGCATCGTGATCTTCGCCCAAATGACTCGCTTCACGAATAGGACCCCCCAATTCCCAGTGCTCTGGAGCCGCCCCTGGTAAAGTTATGAACTTAAAATTTTCAGGGAATGTGCCCAATTTAGTTTTAGGAAAAGTCAGAAAATTTCAGCATCGTAGCTTCAGCGGTTTCGGAGATATTCCCGAAAAACCTGAGGGGTGGATAAAAACAACCCCCCTGCCACTAATAGGGTTAACGAATTCGATTTAGACGAAGGTCTGTGACCGAAATATCATCAATTCATCAATAAATAATCATTTTCATTCATTTGGTCATTTTCCGAGGAGAAGGTCATATATTCTAATGATACTTCCTACAAAAAGCAAGTTCAGTCAACAATATATCATTTTACAGCTAATTGACTGTGGAATACGCTATTCACAGTTGCAAGTCTTTATCTTTCATATAGATTCGCCAATGCCTGTTGGCTGAGTAATTCAGAAAATTATAGCTTTTCCCCGAAATTTGACTTTAGACCTGCCATAACTGGGTCAAATGTTGACCTAGGGTAAAAAATATACCACCAATCGCGAGTGCTCGTTCAAAGCAATCGACTGGCCTTTGTTGCGAAGCGCTATAGGTACGGCGCTTATTTCAAAACGCCGGATGCCAGGCCCGAGGCCTCGTTATGAAAAATGCCCTGTCAGGCGAGGGTTAACCCGCGCCCTGGTGGGGTCTGTTTATAACGCGACCTGGTGGTGGGGGGGGGGGGCTATTTTTTGCCCCCCCCTCGTATCTCCGAAACTACTGGACGGATCCGCAAAATTCAAACGGCGTTCGAAAGGCCTGTCAAATTTGTCGAGGAAAACCAAATTTCATTGACCTCGGGGTCACCGATGACGTCACAGGTCAGCAGGCACGTACCCAGGATTTCGCCCAGGAGGGGGCCACCTGCTTTCGAAGGGGCCCCCCACAGTGTGTAGGGCCCCCCAGGTTCCCCGGGGGCCCCCGGGAGTCATGAAGAACCTTTCGATGGTGGGGGGGGGGGCATAGTGGGTCCGGTCTCTCCTGCAGACGTAGGTGAGAAAACGCCACGTGTGTGGGAAAACGCAATTCAGTTCTTTACAACCTAATGTAGCATTTGGTTGTGATTTCTCGCGTTCAACTTCATCAAAGTCAATTAAAACGGTCTCTGTAACGGTCTAAGCCTTGAGAAAATGTGGAAAATTGGAAAGTAAAAATATTTTTGCTTGAGGAGTGTGCATGAAACGCACGGCATTTTATAAGCGAGCGCCTCAATTACTGAACATCCTCCAATTCCGGATATGTAGGTATATAATATAATAGTGGGGAATAAATGTCTCGTTATCGTAATTCCACAATCTGGCAACTAGCCCAATGTAAACGCGGCTATTATATGTTTCACTAGGAATCGAGCGCAATTGTACTTTTAGCCAGAAAATAAATGTTTGGGTAATTCTGGGACACTCCGTATTAATTGGAGGAATAGGACTTATGAGGAAATGCGATTGCAAATCGACCCACATCCCTGTGTTAGCCAATGACGCCTTTGGGGCCAAGGTTGGGGGGTATTCAGTTTAGCCTTTTTGTTTTTCTGTGATATCTCCGGCACCGTGAAAGATATTGGCTCATTCAGATGAGTGCCTACTCCAGTCACTACTTATATCCAGTAGCCAGTAGCCACTCAGATGATTTAGGATCAATCAGGTGATAAGCGTACTTTCAGACGACCAGGGGCCCACAGTCGACCAGGGGTTCCCAGGCGACCAGGTCCTCCAGATGACTAGGGGCCCCACTGCCCCAGGCGACCAGGGCCCTCCAGGCGACCAAGGGCCAATACGATCAGGTCCCCAAAGCGATCAGGGGCCCCCAGGCGACCAGGGGGCCCCGTGCGACCAGGGGGCCCCATGCGACCAGGCCCCCAGCTACCAGAGGCCCCAGGCGACCAGGGGCCCTCTAGGTGACCAGCGGCCCTCAGGCGATCAGGGGCCCCCAGGCGACCAGGGGATCCCAGGCTACAAGGGGCCCAAGGCGACCAGGGTCCCCCAGGCGACTAGGGGCGACCGGGGGCCCCAGGCAACCAGGGGCTCCATGCGACCAGGCCCCCCGGCTACCAGGGGCCCCCTGGGCGACTAGGTACCCCCAGGCGATCAGGGGCCTCAATATCATGCAACCAGAGGCCCCCATGCGACTAGGGCCCCCTAGGCGACTAGGGGCCACAGACTATCAGGGGCCCATACGACCAGGCCCCGGGCTATCAGGGCCCCCTAGGCAACTAGGGGCCCCAGTCGATCAGGGGCTTCATGCGACCAGAGGCCCCCCATGCGACCAGGGCCCCCTAGGCGACTAGGGGCCACAGGCTATCAGGGACCCCCATGAGACCAGGCCCCCGGCTACCAGAGGCCCCCTAGGCGACCAGGGGCCCAGGAAACTGGGGGCCCTTGGATGACTGCAGGGGCCCCTCGGGTACCCAGGGCACATAAATGAAACTTTAATATCAATTTTTCTTCCGAGTAAAAGACGTTTTATCCAGTGTTTAAAAAAATATCCTGGGGCCTGAGGGGCCCCCTGAGCGCCGAACGCGCTCAGGGGGGGCCTTGGCCCCCGTGGCCCCCCCCCCTTGGGTACGTCACTGCAGGTCAGGTCAAAGATGAAATGTTTCACCGTTCACGGGTCTTCTAGGGAATGCACTATAACACCGAGGAAAACGCATTTTGTCGAAAATCAGCGATAGGGCGTCAGTTGCCTAGTAGATATGTTGCAATTGGAGGTCACTGACAATACCAGGTCAGGTCACAGGTCAGGTCACCAAGGGTCACAGGTCAGGTCACATGAGCCCAACTTTACTAAGGTTGTGTGATGCATGTATTATGGCCAATTTTTCATTTCCAACTCAATGGTGTTGGTTATAAGACTATCAGGTACGGCTTAGGTCACTTTCTGGTGAAGTTCAGGTCAAGGTCAGGTCAGGGTCAGGCCAAAAAAGGTCAAATTTTGAAGTTGATAGTTTTGCATAAAATGGGTATTGATTCGATGCAGCTCGTCACGAGGAGTCTAATGGTGGTCTTTGTTTTGCGCTACGGGGTCTAGAATTGCTAAAAATTGAGTTTGAAAATTTGACGTCATCAATTTTGAACAGTTTTTTCGCTATAACTTCGCCAAAAAAAGAGGTATCGATCTCAGATTTGGTATGTGGATGGAAGGCGGTAAGGACTATCACATATATTCCGGTTTTTCCGAAATTCAAAAAACTTTTTGGATTTTTCGATTATTATATCCAAAAAAAATATTTTTTGATTTTTGGGGGTCAAAACCACAAAATTTCAAAAATCCGAGAGAGCAGTTTTGTAGCCCTGTCAATTCTACAGCTTTTATGTCTTATCATTTTTTCTTTATTTGCAAAGCTATAGGCCTGACAGCTCTTCCCGCAAAACCCTTTTTTGGGTCGAAAACGGCAGAACATGACGTCACTCTGACATCATTTCCGGCCAACCTATCATAGCCTTTGGAAAATTTTTGGTCACAATGTGTAAAATTGATGTCCGAGAGGGTACTGAAAGTTTGGTGACGATCGGCGCAGCGGTTCTGGAGATATATCGAAAAGTCTGGACGGGGGGGGGGGGGCAAAAATAGCCCCCCCCCCCACCAGGTCGCGGGTTAATTCCAAGCCGATGGAATATGGATTATGCAATTTCCACCACGACGCCTTTTATTCTCAGCATTGTTTGCATATTTATGCCTAGCCCCGATAACTACCCTATAAAAATACAAGTTTTATGTTTAGGATCGGAATAATTTCTTATGAGAAGAATAAAACCTTTGCGAGGCGAGATCAACTGATAGCGGAAAATCTATAAAACATGTTCCGTAGATAAAGTAATTGGATATATTTATCTCAGGATTTATCTAACATATTTTATTAAGCAAAAAGTATGTGAATTTTATGGGATGGTTTGCTGCTTCGCAACTTTTGATCTATTTCTCAAGACGTCCCCAACTCATTGATCGCTGGACCGTCTGCTACCCATTCCATACAGCAATCCTATTGGTGGATCTTAGCTGACGTCACACAGCTGGCGAGCATTCATTGGTGTTTGATGACGTAGGAGTTTTCTAGAGTGTGGTGGATAAGGCTACTACATACCCGAAAGCATGACTTTCGCAACGTCCGGACTGTTACCGAACATTCGAGTTAGCCACCAGCCAGCCACATAAAACCGCGGCGTGAGAAGCATTGGTATCAGTTACCGACAAAGTTGGAGGTTGGAGCGATACTCTGATTCTGACGCTGAGGAACGATGCCCGTCACGTTTTTCGTCGAGCCCAGTCGGCTGCCGTCGTGGAGCCCCTGGAGCGAGTGGCTCGAGTCTGGAGCCCGCCGGGAGCCGCGCTGTCTCTGGCTGCGGCGGCCCGCTCTGAAGAGGGGTCCCGAGCTGCCGCTGCAGCTGCAGGGACCGGGCGGTAAGCGGGTGTGCTGCCGACCCGCCGCAGAGTCGGACGGCTACCGGCAGGTGGTCGACGTGGCCGGCTACCGTCCGGACGAGGTGCGCGTCCGGCTGTCGGCCGACGGCCAGGTCACCGTGTCCGCCTGCCATCGCGAGCGCTCCGACACCGGCTTCAACCACAGCAGGATGGTGCGCCGGCTGAGCCTGCCGCAGCACGTGCGGGCCGACCAGCTCAGCTCGCGCTGGACGCCGGCCGGCCAGCTGGTGCTGGAGGCGCCGGCCGCCGAGCTCAACGAAAGGTGCGGTCGGTGCCCTCGTGACCAGCGGAAGGTCATGGTGGTGCCCGTCACCTACGATACTCCGGCCGTCAAAGAAGGACAGGACAAGACCGCTGAGGAGGGTGAGAAGACTGAGGAGAGCCATACTGAGAAGACCAGCACCGATCAGGAGGAGGTCCAAGAGGAGATGACGCACGAAGGGGAAGCTGAACAGTCTGACGGACAGGACGTCGCTGTAGATGTAGAAGCAGCTGCTGATGAGGCCCCGGAGAAGAGCTCAGAGAGCGTGGAGGACCTCACAGAGAAGTCTCAGGACGATGTCTCCGAGCCAGCTGAGGCAGCGCCTGTCGAGCCCGCTTCCTCCGTCGCTGTTGCCGACAAGCCGGCCGAGGTCGTTGACCTGGAGGCCGAGGCGGCCGCCCGGCAGGAGGAGACCGTGCCGGTGGCGGTGCGGTCCGGGTCGCCGGCCTCCGAGTGCGGCCAGAGCAGCGTGCTGGCCTCGGTGGATGTGAGCAGCTTCCTTCCGGAGGAGGTGGAGGTGCGCGTCAGCGGCCGCCAACTGGTCATCGAGGCCGTGCACGAGGAGACGGCTGGGGACGGCGGCAGCTGCCAGCTGCGGATGGCGCGCCGGCTGCCGCTGCCGACACACGTCGACCCGGACCTGGTCACGTGCCGGCTGACCCGGGCCGGTCAGCTGCTGCTCGAGGCGCCCGTCACCCCGGCGCCCGGCGCGTGATGCGACTTACCTTAGGTTCTGACTGACGCCTGACCTGTGATTTGCATTACGTGACCGGTTGAAGGTGCCGACCTGGCCACGTCAATTTGCTAAACGACCTGTCATCATGTGGTGGTTATTCTTTGTATTTTAAGCACCGTGATGCTCATTTCATTTCCAGGAAGCGGTCGCGTGGACCATATTGTCGAACTGTCTTAAGTGCACATTCTGTGATCCAAGAAGCGCGTCATTGTCTGTGAAGTGGGTAATGTTTGCTGTTGGTGTGTGCGTAATAAACGAATGCTGCGTGAGCTTAGCGTGGTGGTTTCAAGACGGGATGCCTCGGAGGGACTGGCACTTATACAAGCGATGGTTATCTACTACTATTCACTTTGATTTTTTACATCGATGGTAATTATCTTGACGGTACTCCAACGGAGCAATAGCTTGGGGATATCCCAATACTACTAGCTGCACACTTGCACTTTGCAGCTGAGTAAACTGAAATAATATATTGGAATCAACTCATGTATTAAAATGTATCGGTACAAAATGTTAGGAAATGACTTCTGAACCTGAATTGACATTTTCATTGTATTTAGTCCTAACGCCAAAAGGGGTGGAAATATAAACATCCAAAACGTGGGCAATATCTGGGGGAAATACAAACCAATACCACACCTATATCTATCCCGTGGGAACAATAGCATGCACGCGCCTGCCACCACCGCAGACGTTACTAATGCAAAACGAACTTCAGCAGCGTATGATCGAGGCGAGATGAAAGCTGAACAGAAACAGCAACATATCGGTAGGGTACAAGAACATGCTAAGCGCACGGGGATACAAATGGCAAGGCACCCAACGACCCACCAGACCAGTAGTACTTCGACACACCGCGAAATGCTGCACCCGACGACGGGTCTTTGTACGTCGCCCTTTGTCGGTATATGGCGCACTCATTGCTCCAGACTGCCGCGTGTCTTCTGATGTATCCAAAGGCCGGCTGCAGCGCCCCAGTGTCTCAGATGGAGCTCGCCACACTGGGACTACCTGCTGGATCCGATAGCCTGTCCTCATCGGAGGTACCGCCCCGCCATCGCCCCTCTGGCTAGGACGCCTAGCCCCGCTCGTTAGGACGAGGCCGCGGCGCCCTCTACCTCTCCGGGCGCGGAGGCGGTCTCCTCGGCCAGCTCGCCGCCCTCTCCCTCGCCCTCGCTGTGACTCGAGTCGTACAGCAGCTCGTGGGCCTCTCCGGCACCCAGAGAGATGGAGTGAGACAGGCGGAACTGCATGGCTCGGCTCAGCGGCGGCACGTACTGGCGCGGGATCAGGAACGTCGACAGGTTGAACAGGTCCAGGAACACCTGCCAACGGAACAGGACCGGTTAGAACAGCGGCAAAGGCAGTGGTTACGAACAAGGAGCCAAGAAAACCCCAGTCTACAAAATGACAGGTACATCAAGTTGTATCGTTATTGACGTGGCTGTAGTGACGAAAATTTACATCGTGGCTAGGGCAAAGCCACGGGCAGCCAAACAGTAGGCTGTAGGCAGCCAACGGCACCTCAACCAGCTATGGAGAGATACCACCCCAGCAGGTGCTGCCACAGTCGCGACGCCATCACGAACTATTAGTTCCACCATCTCCGCCAGACCAACTCAGGCTCTCTGGTTTATTCCCACGAACGGCTGTCAGGGATGGGCCTCACCTTGTACCGGTCGCTGACGGTGGCCCTCAGGTACTGGTAGCCCGTGGATCCGCCGGTACCCAGCTGCTGGGAGCCAATCATACGCTGCACAATCTGCACGTGGTTATCTGTGGACAGATAAGTGCGCGGTCGGTGAAAGGTGCGTTCGTATTACGGCCAGCATTGGAGGTTTCTCGTGTGCCTGATGTAAAATGTTCAACTTAAAACGGGACAATTTTACCGACACTCATCTAAAGTAAGCTCATCTACTAAAGGAAAAAGATAACTGATCATTCCCACTTTCCACAGCATTTACGTCACACGAACAACACTCAAAAACCCAAAGGAAATATGATACAAAATGGTTGCATTATAACTGATTTGATACAAAGGGTATTTAGCAACATGAGTTTTCCCCATCGGCACATCTGCTCACTAAGTGAATTCAGTAAAAGCGCTAGTGTGACCGTCCTGCACTCACTGCGCCACTTGATGAGCAGCTCGTCAATATCCATCAGAAGATTAATCAGCTGGTACGGCTGGTTGAAGCGCGGCTCCATCCTGTGGACAGCAAGAAACTCTTAGAAACTAACTCTCAGTGACTCAATGGGGCTAACCGACAAGAAATGAACGATAATATGTACACTCAAATACAAAACCGTACCCTTATTTTCTATTTTTCGACAGTCCTCGAAGCTCAACGATCAGCATAGCAGCGAAAGTAAACGATATCGCTCAGTAAGTGCCACAACTGACATCGAAAATAAAATTGCAGTCAGTGGGCGTCCCAATGAACAGAACCAGTGGAAAGCTACAGTCGGCCGTCGTGCCGTAAAATATCGGAGATAGGAGGGCATAACCTGTTTGTAACATTAACAAACGCGCCGGGCCTGGCGGGCCGGGCGGCCGGGCGGCCGACGCCAGATGCCTTATTACTGGCCAGACCCGTGGCAGGCCACTGTGGCCGAGACCAAGACCTGAGATAGACCATCTATGACAGACCAATGCAGCCGCCGAAACCTGCCGTTAACTAATGCTACAAACACCGTCGTCAGTTTTATAATGTGGAACACCAGATTCGTCAGAATTTTTCACCGTCAAAGTTCAAAATGATGAATGGTGATAAGTTCAAAGATAATGAGAAACATTTGTTTCCGATGTTGCCAAAAATGACCACAAACAGAAACAGCCGCTAACGAACAATTATGGCGAGCATTCAGAGCATGGGGATACAGCAAAAATTAGGTACACGGGAAGGAAGCGGAGGCAAAAGTAATGCGAGTAGGAGTCTTAAGTAACTAGGTATGTTTGTACTTTTAGCTGCCGGCTTTTTGCGCCTTGCGCCATCTGCTGTGACGTGCATCTGTGACGGTACTCTGAGACCGTCGTGTGTCGCTCTTTCTGCGTCGCTGCGCGGGCAGGGCGGCCTCACCAGCCTCTGTTTACCACTATGTTGCCATTCGCGGGGGCTCGGCTGCCTCGCCTCCGCGTCACGCGCTGCCATTGGTCCGTGTTCACCGCGCGAGACCGCCGAACGACCAGCCGCCCCCGGCAGGAGCGCAGTCTTTGGCTGCTGCCGGACCCCGGCCAGCCGCCGGCTCAGTTGCGCAATAAGCTGAACGATCGACAGCAGTCACGACACAATCTGAACATGATGGACAGCCGCCGCCGCTCTTTCGTGCTCGGGAGCCGGTCTTACGTTCACTTCACGGTTATAAGGAGTGCATTAGGTGCATGCGTTGTTCCAACATTCACATATATTGCTGCTCGTGAAAACCTGCATAGAATAAGCTGGATTCGACTATACGCACGCAGCGATGGAATATTTTGAGCAGTTTGGTGGGAACGGTAACGGTGTAATTAAAGTAACTGTATCCTCGGGGAAGCCAGGATGTATTTTCTATTTCATCCGAACTGCTAAAACTGATGGTCGCTTCAAGAAGACAGCAATAAGAATACGAATTGCGGCCGTTGATGCGCATAAGATAGTAGCTGGGACACTATTTTGCATATCGGAAGCGGTAAGAATATGCGTAATAATAGGCAACCCCCGATCGAACACGTTTCAAGCTTCTTTAAAATTCATCACGACGCAACTTTGTTGAAGCAATGAGAAGTGGAAGATTTATGACCTTGCTTATAGCAGGTTTAGATAGACCCAGATATCAAGAAAATATTCGTGAATATGATCTAAATATTGAATAGAGCGTTATGATAGATTGCCAGGCAGTGGTTGCAAGTGAAGGCATTATTTCTAAACATAGCGCAGACTTAGTATCTAAAGCAGAGTTGGATTGATTACAGGGGCGTCGCCACGGATTTTTGAGTGGGGGGGTCGGGTTTCTAGTCTTCACCCGATGGGTAGGGGTGTTTTTTTGCCACACTTCCCAGTTTTGTGCGTGCGTATGTGTGTGTGTGCGCGTGTAACAAATCGGCGCGCAGCGCCGCGAAATTTGGTATAACCTATTAGGTAGGTATACCTACCTAGTACCTACATCACTTGCGTAAAAATTATCACTGGTCACTTAAGGTTAGGTCGCCATGTCAAGTTCAGTTATACGGTATACCTACCTCTATCAAACTTTCCCCTCTCGCCATTCTTGTAGCTTTTCTCCCATAACTTCGAAATTTGGTACACTGTAGGTATACCTAATGTATGGGGTTATACGTGTCAGCAATTCATGATTCTTAGGATTTACATCTATGATCTGGAGGCAGGTCAAATACGTGACCTCATCATGAGAAAATAATGCGAAATTAGAAAAAGCACGAATGCCTCCTGCTTTGAAAAAGTTCGTCAGAAACGCAAAATATCTTTGGAGCCATGACAAATCAGCTCATCATTGCCAGGGACAGGGTGCAACTTATGGCGAGTGATGACTCGAAAGGTCATTAGTGGAAATGTCCATCGGTGGCCACCAGCATTTTTTTCTACAACTTTTGACGAAGACGCGGTAGAGCGATGACAGCACCTGAAAGGTGTTCACTGTTCAGCTCAACAACACGGACCCATTCATATGCAGCAGGACGTCCTTTTTCGATCAGGACATAACGTTGACCTGAGGTCGTTTTAACGTTAATTCTGAATGGTCAAATTTTAACTCATGTGACGCGTCTCAAAGAGATAAACACGGTGGTGAGACAACATATCGACACCTTTTTTTTTTTAAACCCCACATCTGCTCTCCCGTGAATTTCCGGGAGGCACGAAAGATCTCCTTTTAAATGTGTCCAATCGTCCGATCCTGATCAAATATGTGTGTTCGTATGCCTGTTCTGGTATTGCTTTGTCTGCCAAGACAGACAAACTAGAGAAAAATCGAGTGATTGTACCTTTTTTGAAGGTCTCTAACCAACTTGTCTGAAATTCACCGGAGAACAATTGTGGGGTTTAAAAAAGGTGTCGATATGTAAATACCACACAAATTCACGGAATCTAAAGTTATTGCAAAGCAAATGTTTCGGCAGAATCTGTCCAGTTCGCTGTTTGCCTTCTATGGGCAAAACATAGACCTGAGATGAAATCTGACGCGAAGCTAGCGAAAGAGCGTTGAAAGAGCTATCGAGTATCGAATATGTTTTCTGCTTCACTGTAGCCCTTCTATTGGTGGGTTCCCTGTCGCTAACGTATAACGTATACTAAACTAACGCTGAGGTATGCTTTCGACCCCTGATCGATCTAGAGGTTTGCGGAAAAAGAGCATGCTGCCCGTGACGAGAGAAAGCCGATGATACCCATTTACAAGGTTTCGGGTCATCTCAGGACAGGTCATCGCCAATAAGTAGAAACTCGGGACCTGCTAGAACTTTGCGAATGTAATTTGTGATGGTTTTTCGAGGTTCTGATTACGAATGTTATCTTAGTTTTGAACGAAGATGATGACTCCATGCATTTGGGGTAGATCAGGTCAGGTCAGATCAACCAGTACCTAATAGTGGATGACCACCACTGATTGCTTTCTAACATGTTATACATATGTATAAGCAACACAACTACTTCTTAAATGTTCAGATGGGCGCTAAGTTCAAAATCAGCTCCAAAAACTATCCTATACCTAAATTAAAAGCATGTTATGAAAAAGTGAACCAAGGTCATCTTTATTTGAATCAGGGATATCGATTTATTTTTAAGTAGGTTATTAACTCGAGCGCACCGGAAGTTTCGTTGCAATCGGCTCCTTTTTGCGCGACTTCTTTGCGAAAGCCCGAGACGATCTCACCTGACTCCCTTTCCCCTACATGTGCACTGTACAGCTAGTTGTGACATATACACTGTGGTTGTGACGGTAGCCATGGGGCTGAGGCTAGTTTGTAGTTTTGTAGTTAGGTACCTACTGATCCGACGAATCGACTGCGACCATTTTTTTAACGATCAGACGAACGCTCGGGGCAGTTTTGGCGCGTCCAATCCTTTGAGGGATAAAAAGGTACTAGAATGGTGGCTACTTAAAAATATTGTTGTGCTGGTGTTCCCCGCCCACAGCTAATTGAACTTTAGGTAATTGGCTAATTGGCTTTATGGAGCTCTTGAAGCGATTCTGAATCTGATGTATTTGTTGGTGTTGCTGACGCCTGCTTCACTGACATAAAAGCTAAAAAAGCATACTCAGCATCGCAAAAAGTGGGGGGGGTCGACACCCCCAGTTCTCAAGAGTGGGGGGGTCACGACCCCCCCGACCCCCCCGTCGGCGACGCCCCTGATTGATTACAACTCTAGCCGCAAGCCGGTCACTCAAAAACACCCTCTTGTCATTGTTGGTGGCTACGGAGTGGCTCTCAGTCAGCTAGTCAGCTGGTGCTCTTATCAGGTTGGTCAGCTGAAGCGCTTAGGTCAACTGGGGTACTAAGGTCAGATATGTTACTGCTCTCCGCCGGGTAGCGTTGCCATATAACTCAGATACTAACCGGTAGAAGGAGACCATGAGCGCGCCCTGGAAGGCACGGTGCGACCAGCGACGCTCCCCACGGGCCCGCAGTGCCTCGTGCACCTTCACGTCAAAGATGGAGTCGAATAGTGCTGAGCGTCGGCTGACCATTTCGACCTCCTCCTTCTGCTGCACCGGGTCGGTCATCTCCTGGTAGAATGGGAGAGAGCACAGTGATAATTAGGGCACTCCTGTGGCACCGGGTCGGTCATTTACTAGTGGAACGAGGGAGGACACAGACAGGAAAGATTCGGGAACAGTTATTAGACCACTTCTATGCTGCACCGGATAAGTCGTTTACCGACGACACCGAAATGGGAACAGTGCGTAGTTAAAAACGGTTAAAGAAACACTGTGACCGATGCTCAGCGCCCATTACCCTATTTCACCATTATATCCAGTCGCAAGCATTCAAAAACAACAATGCACCACTGAACTCCAGTGTTCAAACAGTTACACAGCTACAACACACTCAACACTCAACCTATCCTCACCTCCGCAGCTTTGCGTTCATCACTGAGCATCGTTTTGACGGCTCCCTGGAAGCGTTCCCAGAAGTTGAAGCCCCTGGAGCCGATGCCGGGGGTGCGCTCGAGCCAGCGCTCGACCAGCTGCGCCAGCGAAGGCTGCTCCTCCGAGTCGCGGATCTGCGCCAGCAGCTCCGGGTGGTCGCCGTACGGTGCCGCGTAGTCCGACTTGGTCTTGACGCGGCACTCCTGTGCGACACAGAGTCGCGTGCGAGTTGAGTCAGTGGGTAAAGGTGTACGTGCGTGCAGAGGCAGACATCTGGCTTACAGTGGGAACTGTTCAGTTCAGTGAAGGATGGGTGTCACCGGTCTCACCAGGAGAAATGGAACCCGTAATGTTGAGTCTTAACATGTCGACCTTGAGATTGTAAGAGTTGCTATTATGCCGCAGTTCTTTTTTTGTGCACTCAGATAGAATAAAGCGAATACAAATAACTAACAAGTCTCCACCGGTGCGATCATGCCATGCCTGATGAAAATAACCTTGTACCATATACCTTATACCTCATACCAAAGAACAATGTCTGACAACATAAGGTAAAGACAAGTGGTAACACATTCTCTCAGTTATCTGACTTTGCCGTCTATGTTTAGCCAATAAACAATCAACTATTCGTCTCACCTTCTTTAGGCCCAGCTTGTTCTCCAGCAGCCTGAACTGCAGGCTCTGGAAGCCGGAGGCGGTGCTGAGGTGGTCGCGGAAATCGAGAAAGTCCAGTGGCGTCATCGTCTCCAGAATCTCTATCTGGCCCACCAGCAACTGCACGACGAATAGAGGGGTGACCGCTCAACAAGGCTAACTACCGGGAGTTCCTAAATAAACAGACGAATTTAATTTCCCTCAGGTGAAACATACCGTTGAAAATGATAGCTTAAATGTTAATTAGCATGTGTGCGATGAACTTTTCAATAAGAGATATCATTGGTTGTGCGGTGAGGTCATCATGAATATTTTAGTGTCGATTGTTTGTCAACTTTTTTACACCGTATTATTTAGTTCTTCAGTGATGGGTTAACCCTCGCGGGCCCGGGCCCCGGGGGGCGTTTTTCGCCCCCCCCCCCTGGACATCTTCTGTTTGACATCTCATCAATTTCTTCTCATCAATTTGACATCTTCTGAAGTAAAAATTTGGACCTAGCCCCCTTGATGACGTCACAAGGTCCATTTTTCTAGACCCCTGCACGGCAAACTTCGGCGTCACAGACGCAAATTTCAAATAGCTGCTAAAAATGGAGTTTTAGAGATAAAGATAAATTACGAGCACGGTTGTGTAGCGCAGGGGCGCCGCCACGGATTTTTGACTGGGGGGGACGGACTGACCGGCTGAAAACCCAAAAGTAGACATTCTTACCGTGGCTTTTTCGGTCGGATGCATTCAACGTTTAAAGCAAATATGCCACTTTTAGCATAGGGTTTTGAACTGAAGTAACAATTTTGTAGCTTGAGCTGAGACGAGAACAAATCAGGAGCTTTTATGGCCCAACGATCACCCTAGCCAAAAATATCGGTATCGATTTTAGGTTTGAAGACTGAAGTCATTCCCATAGATTATACTTTGTCATTCTCTTACCGAGGAATCCATTCCCTTACGGAAAAATGCTAGCCAATCAGTATTCAGCTGGTTTAACTCTGAACTACGTACTATGCTTGGTCAACGCGTAATCAGCTTCCGCTGCAATATAGGTAGGTAAGTAGGTACTAAGTAGCCTGTACGAAAGATGGAAAATAGTGATGTAAAAATAAATATAAAATCCTTTTGCAAATATTCATTATTTCCTGACCATTTTAAGTTTAAAAACTCATAAAACTGTGGCAAAACAACTGGTTTGAGGAAAGTAGTTTAGGTTAGGTATTTCCTTAAAGTAATGGCTATAGACCGCATTCCCACCGAGTTATACCTACCTATATACACATCTGATGTCCGATTCAGTTTGACACGGCAAAGCCTCGTGTTCTATCACGGTATTATTGCTGATGTATGCCACTAATATGATCGATAATGCATATTTCATAGGTAATGCATATTGCATACCCGCGTGGGGGAGGGGGCGTTGTATAGTCACAAATCTCTCTTTTTGGTTGGTGCACGAATCGGCGCGAAGCGCCGCGAAAATTGGCAAAAAAACATTAGGCAAAACTGCTCCAAAATACGAATTTTGCAGCCCGTGTAACAAGCTTGATACCAGAAAACCTTAGGTCAGGAAAACCAAGTCAAATAGTCAAGTCGCCTCAAAGTTTTGTGGTCCTGTCAACCGTATAGCTTATTTCTTAGAAGCTGGAAATTTAGTGTAGCGTGACTGCAGAAGTGTGGGGTCGGAGCCGGAATCAGTCGGAGTTGACTGTTTTGGCCAGTTTTGGCCAGAGTCGGAGTTGAAGTCTTCGAAAACAGGGGCGGCGGATTCGGGGGGGCAGGGGGGGCAGCTGCCCCCCCTGGCAAACTCGTGGGGGGGCAAAAGTATCTTTTTGCCCCCCCATAATTTGTGACAAAGCTTAGACAAAAAACCATATACCTGATTATGCTGTTCGAATCGATCATCTGAAGATGTAACCAGATGCCCATATACTTTATCATACGTTGCCTTTCTTAAATGGCAAGCGTTTGCGTTCAATTGAAGTTTTCCTCTCTTCAACCTAGTTTTAGAGGCATTATAAGCGTCAACGTGACGCAGCGGCAACCCAGGCCTTCAGTGATCGCTTACAGGGGCGACGGATACGGGGTGGCAGAGGAGGCATCGTCCCCTAAGAAACTTTTGGAGGAGGGGCAAACGTATATTCTTGCCCCTCCATAATTTGTGCCCTAAACATGAGGAAAATTTCCATAACCTGATATTGCAGCTATGCGCTCCTACAGTTTGTCCAACGGTGCCTTTTGAATATGTGTAAATGCTAACCATTTCCACTTTATATCATTTTTTTTTGTCTTTTAACCCTCGCACGACCAGGCCATTTCTCATAACACGAACGACCAGGGGGGGGGGGGTTGTTACGACCCCCCCTGGCGTTTCGAAACGGAAGGTCGTAGAGCTTAGCGGAAAAAACCAACGGATTGCTCTCAACGAGATCTCGCGATTGGTGGTATATTTTTTGGTCCTAGGTCAACATTTGACCTACTTTTGACCGGTCAAAGGTCAAATTTTCGGAAAAATAGACTTTTTTCAACTTTCGGCGGCGATTGCGGCAAAACGGTGGGAAATATCGACTTGAAACCTTCACTATCGTGTTCCTTGATCAATTTTCTATCGTTTGGTATTTCGTTTCCCTAGCTCTAAAAATGGCGCGTTGGGAGCGCCGGAAGTCGGCAAGGTCACAGTCGGCGGCAGAAATTCGAAAAATCAAAATTTAAATTTTTGAAATCTGATTGTATTTTTGGATTTGGTAGGTCCATTTGCTCCCTATAGAAGCTAATATTGCTGCATATTCCCATTGAGGTGACAAGAATTAGCAAAATAGTGGTTCGGGCGCTTTTCAAAAATAGTACCGGACGCTGTTCCTCTTGTGACGTCATAGCTCCGTGACCTGACCTGACCCGGTCAAATTTCTTATACCATATGATAGCCAATACTTGCCCCAACATGCATGGGAAGTTTCATCACGATCCATCAACCGATGTCCGTACCACCGGCAGGAAACCTCGGGCGTTGGCACTCAGTTTGTGAAAATCCGGCCGGAGGCTGTACCTCTTATGACGTCATAACTCCGTGACCTGACATGACCCGATCAAATTTTTTTTCGGAAAAAGATGCGCAAAGGTTGCCCCAGAGGGTATGGAAAATTTCAGCCCGCTACGACAAGCCGTTTAGCGTGCACTTTGAAAAACCTCAGGGGGGGGGGGTTGATACAACCCCCCCCCAGGCGTTCTAGGGTTAAGATTCGATTTAGAGATATTTTAAGTGTGCAAGAGACGCAACTCATACCTTCAGTGGCTGTTTGCCGCTATTTTGTACCTACATAAATGCCAAATCGCAAGCGAGCGGAGACGGAAGGGCTAGCCATTCGCTTGCGGGTAGTTAGGACTAATGAGCGCTCATAATAAGCCACTCCCCGGATTTTTTTTTTTCGAGCGCAACAGTTTCCAGCGCATAAAATGGTAAACGCCGAGGTCGTACACATTTACCACATTGACCAATGCACGGTATGGTATGACACCCAAAGGCCAGTCATCAGAGATCTGCTTTGGGCATTCGGAGGCTGGTGTGGGGCCAGTGTAAACACTGGATATTCACAGTTCAGTATCCGCTTTATTTCAATTTCACTATTAAAAAAGTAAAAATTAATGTTGGAAACTTTTGAGGGTTAGGGCACTGCTCATAAGTGGGCCCCATCTGTCTAAAAGCTGGCTATAGAATAAAGAGCATCAAACACGAACAGTAGCGGCGGAACACCTTCAATTAAGGGGGGGGGGGGCACTGCCGACTTTTGGTCCCATTCTTTCCATGCAACACCCATAGCGCTAACGTTAAAATGCCAAAATCAAAGGGGGCACGGTGCCCCGGTGCCCTCCCCGTTCCGCCGCCTAGGAGCACGAAAGCAAAATCTAAGGCATTTGGGAAAAAATGAGTGTGCCCTGCAGCGTCTGATAACTACCACCTTCCAGTGGGTCAAGCCAACGGGGCCCAAGTCTATAATGGCACTTAACGATAGCACTAACCTTGTCTCACTTTTCGTTGAAGTCTGTTCCGAATGGTTTCGGCCACAGACTGGCTGCACTGAGGTCGCTTGGTATGTGCAACTGTAATTAAAGCCACCTGAGACGCCCTGACACCAGGCTGCTGAAGCTGGGTTGGAAATGCTTCGTCTTTGCAGATATCACTGGCCGCTGATTCTCGAGTGCCTGAACCGGTAGATGTCGTGGCAAAATTTGATGTAATAATTTGAACCTTACCGCAGTCAGCGCACCCTAAAGCCCTAATAAAGAAACGCCCCACCCAGAGCTTCTGGATTCTCGTTCCAGGCTACCGTTCCTTCACTCCAGCCCGCCGCCGCGCTCCCTCATCTGTCTCAGAAATATAGAGGAAGGTTAAACGGAAATCGAACGTAAAATGAACAGAGGAAATGGTAACGAGTTACCTCATTGAAGAATAGCGCTCGCCTACTTCAAAAGGGTTGGCGCCGTTCTTCAGCATCTGATATGCGATCGGGTTATGGCACAATTTTTCCCATGGGAGCTTTTTTCTAATAGGTACAGCAATACGAAAAGCGTTACATCGTCCACTGGCGGATCCAGGGAGCGGGCATTTAGAGCAAATATTTACTCCCCCTCCCCCTGGCCCCTGCATCGCCCGAAATAGACAAAACGTACCTTATGTTTCCTAATAATAACACTTTTATCAGGATTTTTTTTTTGCTTCTTACTGTTCAGCAGTAAAAAGCAAAAAAAGGAGCATGCAAAAGGCTCCTCCCCATAAGGAATCGAAATCCGAGGAGTTTTTGGATTTGGGACACTTTGGGGGGGGGGGGGTATGTCCACTACAATGTCGAAAACGCCTTTCTGGATCCGCCTATGACATCATCTCGACTGGGACCTTGCCCCCCCACGCCAAAATCGAATCCGCCGCCACTGTTCGAAAATGTTCGGATTTTGACTCCGAGGTCGGATTGGTGTAAAGTCATGCTCTTGGCTGGTTAGACGAAATATATTAGGCCCGTGTTCGGCCAGTCGTGTTATACGACACACGTCGATCACGATATAAAAAATCGGCAGTTCCGCGATGACAGGTCGGATAAGAGCTGGAGATTTTGTTGGCCGAGGTGGCAGGGGT